TATGTGTAAATGTGGGTGAATCTAGGTAAAAGCTACATGAATGTCAATTGTAATAATCTTACAGATTTTTGGTAGGTCTGATTCTCTTTCAGAATAAAAATGTGTAATTTTAAAAAAATGTTGAGAGTTCTCTTATGAAAGGTGTTCATGCAGAGACTGGATGAATTTCTGAGTAATAGGGATTTTTGCTTGGTTTAAAAATGGGACTATATGATTTCACTTTGACACTTAGTATGATGTTTAATTATTTATTTATTTATTTATTTATTTTTTGAGACAGAGTTTTGCTCTTGTTGCTCAGGCTGGAGTGCAATGGTGTGATCTTGGCTCACCACAACATCCACCTCCCAGGTTCAAGCAATTTTCCTGCCTCGGCTTCCCGAGTAGCTGGGATTATGGGCATATGCCACCATGCCCGGCTAATTTTGTATTTTTAGTAGAGACAGGGTTTCTCCATGTTGGTCAGGCTGGTCTCTAACTCCCGACCACAGGTGATCCACTCACCTCAGCCTCCCAAAGTTCTGGGATTATAGGCATGAGCCACCACGCCCAGCAGATTATTAATTTTATGTGTCAAGTTGGCTAGTCCACACTACCCAGATATTTGGTTAAACAGCAGTCTGAATGTTTTTTTGAAGGTGATTTTTTTACATGAGATTACCATTTAAATCAGTATACTTTGAATAAAGCAGGTTACGCTCCACATGTGGTTGAGGTTCATTCAATCCATTGAAGGCCTTAGGAGAAAACACTGAAGTCCCAGAGGAAGAGGGAATTCTGCCTCCTGACTGTCTTCAGACTGAAACTGCAACATCACCTCATCCCTGGGTCTCAAGTCCGCCAGCCTATCCTGCAGATTTTAGACTTGTCAACCTCCATAATCACATGAGGCAATTACTTAAAATAAATCGATGGTTTCTGTTTCTCTGGCGAACTTTGACTAATAAACTTAGATTCTATTTCCAACTGCCTCCTTGCAACTCCAAATATTCTTCTCAATTTCTTCATCTTCCCAGAAGCCTCTTACCCTCTCTCCCACTCCTCGTGTTCAGGGCCTGACATGTAATAGAAGCTCCTCCCTACTACCAACTATGTAATGCTAGGCTAACTGAGAGGCAGCTCAGTTAGAGCTGTTTTTTAGAAGGTGCAGTCTAAAAACCAAGATATTATTTGTTATTCTTATTATTAAAGTTTTGGAATTACCAGGATTGCTATATAAAACATGTTAGAATCATTGCTAGCCTGGAGCCTAACCTCTGAATGATCCATGTCTAATCACAGGGTATTAGTTCTTCAATGTCACCTGACTCCACTGCTGTGATATATGCCTTCATTAAGGTTAAGGAGAAAGAATTTAAATATCAGGGTTGAGCATCTGAGCAATTATGTCATTTCTATTGATCACCTAATGAAAATTTATGGCATTTAACAGTGAAGAAATCAGTTTACATAAGGGTGTTAGCTTATACCACTGTGCCATTTCCTGGAAAGCCTTCACCGTATTTACTATAACAGTGCATTTTTAAGGGTCTTCCAATTGCAGAAAGCACACTGTGGCTGAAGAAAGGTTGGGCAGTTTAGTTCTGCCATTTTGTTACAAAGTGATGTAAATAAAACTTAGACATTGGTCAGCATGATGAGAACCCAGGGAGCTGAAAGGTAGAGTCTGGTTTTCTGCAGATGTCCTGTTTTAGAGCAATCATAAAAAGTCCAAATAAGGAGGATAAATATGAGGACAGAAACAGTCACAGAGTAATAAACTAACACCTTTAAAAAAAGTTAAGAAGTATATTACATAGTTGAAAATTGTGAGAACTGTGTCACCTACAGAATCTAATTTATAGTCATCAGAGGAAATAAAAATGTTCCCAAGAAGCCACAGCAACTGTTCCTGGCAGGCTATTGTGGACGTTGCTCCAGGCAACTGTGACCCTGCCATAATTTCAGAAGTTAGACATTACTTGCTAAACAAGAAACTTCCAGTTTCTTTTTAAATTAATCATGAGGATGGGAAGGGGAAAAGTTTCACTTCTCTCGATTTTGCAGAGTCCTTTGAGCTCCAAAGCACACAGAGGGCTGCAGGCATACCTTCTTTTCAGAAAGACCCTCTCTGACCTTCTTATCTAAAGCAGCACATTCACCCCATGGCTTTCCAACCCCTCACTCTGCTGTCTCCACAGAGCCTATTCCTGCCTGAGGACGGCAGGCTGGCAGCTGGTAAGGCCTATGACCTGAAGCTAGCAGCCTGCATGTACACTCTGCCTCTGTGACTTGACAGCTGAGGGGCGGGGTAGAGAGGAGGAAGACTTTGGATAAGGTACTTAATTTTTCTGTTCCTCAGTTTCTTCTTCTGAAAAAAAAAAAAAAAAAAAAAAGGAATGTTAATAATGCCTACCTCATAAGATTTTGAGAATTATATGAGTTACTATTGAAAGCCCTGGAAGCACTGTCTGGCAAATAGTCATATTCTGTGAAATAAAACAGGTGAGCAAAATGCGTTCATTTTTCATGGTCTGCCCTGTTGGAAGATGAGCTCCACAAGAGAAGGGCCTTATCTTACACTCTATTGTATCGTCAGTGCTTATGGCAGTGCCTGACACACAGTGGGTCTCAGTAAATGCCTGCAGAAAGTAAGGCTGGGAGGACTTTCAGCTTCTTCTATGCTGTTTTCCCTGGTTTCTCTCCTTTCTTACTCAAATGACCTCATTTAGGTGATCTGGCTTATCTGTTTAGTTAGAAACTCATTGAAATATTTTATACTAACAAATTCTCTAAGAATGTAATCTTGTTAATCCATTAATTCATTTATTAAGATCATATAGTTGAAGGCTTATAGTGTCTCCTGACTCAAATATATGGCCCAGAAACAGTACTCAGCATGTATTTCAACTATAAGACAATGGGATGTCATTTAAATAACCTCTCTAGGCTAAGCCATTGGGTACACAGACCAGTGGGGAAAAGGGATAAGTTAGGAATAGTCAGGGTTGAGACCAGGATCGAACTTTGCTATTGCACGTGCATGGGAGGGGTGGCCTGCCTTCCAAATCATATAATAAAAGGCATCCAACGAAGCCGGCAGCTTTATCCAGGGTCTTCTCTGGTGAACAGAATGCCACAGACCACCCTGCAGACAGGGCAATCATTGGGTCTGGTCCTAGCTAAATGGAGGGGCAAGAGGACCCATTTGAATTGAAGCAAGTCCTTAGCAACTGAGCTGACTCAGGGTTCAACTCCAAGGAAGCTGGAAGTTGAAGTAGTCTGGACCTGACTAAGAATTCACACCTTCTCCAGCCCCGGACACATGGGATGTATTTTAGAACAGAGCCCAGTGCCAGCAGGAAAATGGAGAACTAATCAGTGACCAGTGTGCAGTTGCTGAGGGGACAAAGCCAGCCATATTGTGGTCTCCATGAAACCCTTGGTTTTGGTCTTTCCTCATTAAGGGAGCTGGACTCTCATGTGCATTTGAAAACCAACATCCCTTAGTTCTTGAAAATGTTGCTTGTTACTTCTTTGGTAATTACCTCCTTTCCATTTTCTCTCAGAAATTCTTAATTAAATCTATCTCCTACTTTGATCCTCTAATTTTCTTATTATTTCTGTTTCTATTTTCCTGTTAGAAGTCTGTAGGGGCTTTTGTTGTTTTTCTTCCTGGTCTATTTTCTTAAATTCATCTCCTATTGATTTCAGCTTTCAAATGTTAACTTCCAAGAGCCTACCAGTTCTTGTTTCATGGATATAGTGTATTCTCTTGTCTTCCTCTGAGGAGTTTGATTATAAAGTGTTTGGGGCAGTTACTTTTCTTGTCTGTATAGTTGCCGAATCCTTTGAGTTCCTCTTTAGTTTTTACTTTTTTGTCACTGCCTTGCATGTTGAAGACTTCCTTGACATCTGCTCCTCCTTGTCAGTTCTCACTCATCAGAGTGAGGCCCTTGAGTGTGGAGAGAAGCTCTGTGTTCAAGGCTAGTCCTTGTTTCCTGGTTAGCTGCACTGTAGGATTGTGGGTAGAGATGGCCATTTTGTTTAATGACCTTCAAATACTGGCATCTGTGGATCTGTTCTCCTGCTCAATCTGTTTATCCAGAGAGCATCTTCTACTCTCCTACCTGAAGAGCATAAGGCTGGTCATCAGAGAATGGAGGTTGAGTCGGGCAGGGGCTCACTATTTGGTGTGTAGACTTTCACTGAATTCCCCGCTCCCATCCTCTTGTCTCACCTCCTCCACTTCTCCCAGCTGGTGTTCCTGAATCTGTCCCTTCTTTGGGAATTTCAGAAAGTTAATCAAGTCTTTCAAGCAAATTCTAAAGATCACAACGAATAGCTTACTCAGTGAGATTATTTTTACAGGGTTGCAAATCAGAACTTAAAGATATTTTTCAGGCTTTGCCTTTTAAGGACAATGGTTAAAAAGGGCTTAAAAAAAATCATAAAGAGCTTAGTAATAGAGCCTGATTGTGCAGGCTAGCATACTCACATGCATGCTCCCCAGCACTTTAGGGTGTAGGACCAGGCATGGGGTTGGAGTGGAGAGGCAACCCAGGGGCAGCCCAGTGACTTCTACGTGTGCTCTTGTTTTGGGTTCATAGGAAGAGACTATTGGGTAAGTCACTTTACCTTCGCTGGTAAAATTAAATTAGAGAATTAGAGTGTGGGATCTTTAGGCTCCTTTCAGCTCAAAGATCATCTATTCTATTCCACAATAATAAACTCATCTTATTTTTATCCCTGTGGATAGCTAGGATAAATCATATAGAAACATCATAAATTCAACTTCAGGATATTAAGGTGATATGACATGAATGTCACAAATAACAGTAACATCTCCCACATCTTGTGGTTTGAAGAGACAAATGAAGAAGCAGTGTTACCTGTGCTTTACACTTGTAGTTATTTAAGCTTTTCTTTCAGGCATGAAAAGACAAAGGCTGTAAAATGATTTCTTTTAAGGCTTGTTAACATTGGAATTTTATATTTCAAAACCTGCATTATATAATTTTATATTTCAAAACCTGCATTATATATTTAGAAAATAAGAGTGAAACAGGTCAGTGTGGGTGGCTGGGGATGAATTTGAATGAGTAATATAAATATCACTTCTGAAGGGCAGCTGCAGGAAGCATGTTGATACGGTCGTGCTGGGGTCTACGAGCAGACACACACTTACACACCCGGACACAGTCATGCGCGACCTTGGCATATGCCCTTTAAAATATCTGGAAAGGCTTTCAACACTGCCTTTGTATACAGTGAAGTGTCCTAATAATAAGTCTTACTGAGACCTATTTCAGCAAAAGATGAAAAAAATAAAGAGAAGGTATTATTTCTCTGAAAAACCTGTGTCCTTTCATAAGCTTAGATCCTTTCCCTCATACCTCTTTGGGATAAGAGTTTTCTCAATTAGAAATTCTTTTATCTGCAATTTGTAGGGGAATGGCTCCCTGGCACCCTTGCAGATCTCCACACAGGCAAGTGAGGCTCAGCTGCAGCCTGACTTGCCTTGGTGAATGAACACCTTGTCACCCTCTCAGGAATTTGGCATGAGTGGCAGTTCTGTGAGGTGCTGTCAAGGCTGTTCCCCATTCACCTCACTATCTTGTGGGAGGTTGCCACAAGGCCATTTTCCGTCTGTTTTCCTGGTTCTGGTGAGGCATGGGGCTTTCCATCTGTCCCCCTTCTTCGGGAACTGTTGCAGACTATTGAAGTGCTTGGCTGGAGCCTAGAGTTGTTGACTTCTCAGCCACAAGGTGAGGAGTGACCCACTGTTGGTGTTCCCCGTCATCTGCCCCCTTGGCTTGGTGTCATCCTGTGGAACAATGGCTGCAGGTAGCTGGCACAATGCTGATCTTTTATGCTGTCTGTATGAGTTATAGATTGGCTAAATCCATTTTGGTTTGTTGTCTCCTTACCAGTTGAATCTTTAGAAATATGGCCAGCAAAGCTAGTGGCGATTCCCATGCTACTGCTAAGTGACCTGCCTGACTGGTTGGTAGAAAACTCGATCGGCTTAAAAAAGAAGGAATGTTTCCTTTATCCACATACCAAGAAGTCAGGACACAGGCAACTGTTAAATCAGCAACATGATGTCAGGGCTGATCTACTGCAAAAATTCCTCAGTCATCTTGGTCCTAAGATGGCTGTTCTGGTTCTGGACATCACATCACGTCTGCATTTAAGGTGAGATGAAGCAGTGGAAGCAGGAATCATTATCTGTCTGCTTTATTATGAAAGCAAAAGCTCTCTCAGAAATGCTCCAGCAGACTTCACCTTGTGCACTATTGGCCATAACAGGATCATAATACCCTGAGCTTCAAAGAAAACCAGTTTTTGAAAAAGACGAGCTAGATCAGCATGATTAGTTTACACTAGACTAGACTCGTCAGAGTATATGCTTGGGCTGCTCTCCTTACCTTTCTGAACCAAACTTGAGTTTCATTGGTGAGACACAAGGAACGTGTAAGTTGGATAGGCAACAAGTTGTATGTGCCATTTGAACCAGTGTTCCCAGTCCTAGCCTCTTACGCAAGCTCAGTAGGAAAGGCCCGTTAGTCACTGACTCTATTATCTCTTCTTGCTTGCACATCAACTATATCTCATATTTGAACTGACCAATAAATAACTGGTACATTGCAAAAACAATTTCCAGTTCTTCAGTAACTGTAAGTCTAATCCAAAAGAAATTGAGAATTGTCACGATCAAGGACTATATATGCACCAGCCCCTGAACTACTTTCTTTTCTTACCAGACTACATCAAAGTTCAGAAGTGAATGACATTAGGTGAACGTTGAAAGTCTGATGCCACCATAAGCTTACTTATCTTTGCAGTATTCCAAATAAAATAAATTTCTTTCAGGTAAGAGTACAACTATGGCCCCTCTTATTTAAGTAAGAAATAATTGGGATTATTGTCTGTATTTGGCAAATTGATACAAGAAAACGCCAACCTGTTTCGTCTGGAGGGTAGAAAGTTATTCAAATGCTAAGATAAAAACTAATCCCTCAGGAGCTAGGCTATGAGAACTTAGCCTATCTTTTCCTTCTGTCCCACCTGTCTACTCCTAAATATCCCTCAAGATGCTGCTTAAAAATAACTTTCTTTTTTTATGTCTTTATTTTAATGCTTACCACTGGCATACTGAAATTATTTACTTAGACATTTGTCTCACCACTACATTAGGAAATTTTCCAGGGAAACAGTTCTGTTAGCACAAAGTAGAATGCACAGTAGTAAGTTCTTAACATATTTTTGTTGAATAAAATCTATTTATATCTTTCTTGATGGCTGTCAAAAATATATTTAAACCATGAATAATTAACATAATTAAGTTCTAGATCTTAATTGAGGCACATCAAAATAAAAAGTGCATTTATGGGCCAAAAAAAAAAAAAAAAGACATAAGTAGAAAGCAAATTCAAAACAAGAAAAATATCTGCAGCTCCTATCACATAAATATGATTTATTTCCTTCATATGTAAACTCTTAGAAATTGAGATGAAAAAGATCAATCAGCCAAAAGATAAATGAGCAAGGACGTGAACAGACAGTTCACATAAAAATGACCCTTAGTAAGAAGACACTCAACCTTACCCATACTTTCAAAAATGCAAATGAAAACAATACTGAGAAGCCATTCTCATTTATCGTGTTGGCAAAATTCCAAAAATTCAATAATATACTCTATTAATGAGACTGTGGGAAAACAGGCACTCTCAACATTTCTGGAGGAATGCAAGTGGTACAGCTCCTAGAGGGGACCATGTGGCAATTTCCACACAATATTACAAATGCTTTCACCCTTTAACTCAATTAACCTATGATAGAGAATTTATGCTACAGAGATCTGGGCACGGTTACAAAATGGCATGCACAAGTCATGTGTTGTGGTATTGTTTGTAATAGCATCAGAAACAAAATTTCCATAAAGAGAGGACTGGTTAAATAAAGTGCAATATGTCCTCAAAATGGAATACTAGGTGAGGTAAAAGAATGAGGACACCATCTCTGTTATATTGTGGGAGGGTATCAGGATAGATGGCTCAGAAGAAAAGTTCAGAATAGTGAGCACATTATGATGCCCATAGTGTCATAAAGAAGAGGAAAAAATACATATACTTGTTTTGGTTTGCAACTGCATAAAGGTATACTGTGGAAAAGTATACTGTGGGGATGGGGGCCAACCAGGTGGATAGAATAGAAGCAAAACTCAATGTATACCATTTTTATTTTAAAAGTCTGTGAATTAAAAATAACAATAATAAACCTGTGAATTATTACTTATTAAAAATAAAAAAATTTAAATCCTACACTTTGCATATGGTGTTTAGAGCCAAACTGCATGTTTATATTTCTGCCTCACTTATTACATCAGTGAATTTTGGAAAATTTCTGAACCCCTCCCTGTCTTGAAGGAATTTGATGAGTTAATAAATACAAAGGAATTATTATATTTATTAAATAATAATTTAAAACTTATTAAAGCCTTATTAAATTAAAAAACTTATTAAAGCCTGAAACACAGTAAGTTCTACATGACTGTAGTCTCTTATTAATACTGCATTTAACAACAATTTTGAATAACTCTTTAGCCCTTTAGTGATAAGATTTCCTGAATCCTTCTGATATTCCTAACGTCCCCCTTACCCCTTCCCGAAAGGTGGTAAAATGAATGCCAAGAGTAATATCAAACAGCACTGAGCCAGGGCCAGGTACAAATACAGGAGCCAACACATGGGCATTGCCACATCATTCCACATCATGCTTATGGAAATCCTAAGACACAAGGTCATTGATTTCTATTTCTTTTTAGCAAACCAAAAAGAGAATATAATAAATTGGATCATGAGGCGTTATGAATGCACAAAGTGTTGCAAGATGTGCAAGACAGCTATAAAACACAGCCCCTGAAAGTATCTGCTGCAATTCTTGTTGAAATCAATGGATGACATCTTTCCTTGACACCCAGAAAATGAGAGTCACTGTCAGGTTGGGAGTTTCTAGAGAGAAACTCTAAATAAATATGTGGCAACAGGTTCCATAGCATTACTCGTATTTACAGTTTTGAACACACCCACCCTATGGTTGCTTATTTGAAAAAATAAAGACTCACTGATGCAGATATGATATAATCAGCAAGGCACTGTCAGTAAGTTTGCCAGCTCCCTTTGGATGGCTTCTGTTGCCTGTTTGTGTGGAAAATGAATTTGTGCATGACATTTTGATGTTTGGATTATTGGATAACGCCAATTCAAAACAGCACAAAGAAACAGCTTAGATATTTTTCCTTCTAATCAAAAAAAAAAAAAAGCCTAACACATTATGAAGAAATTGTGCCCCCTGCTGATTTAATTTGATATTTTTTGGGTTTTTTTTTTTTTTTTTTTTTTAAAGGCCTGCAGTGCCGCAGGTTATTGCAGTGTCTTCAAGGTCAGTAATTTACATGTCCTCTCAGAGGCTAAGGCAGCCTCTCCATGCAAATAGGAACATTTCGCTTGATAGTGACCTTGGAAAAAAGGAAGCAAAGGAGGAATGCCTCCTTTTATGAGCTATGTGGAGATATTTGTTCTAAGAACCTTCTCAGTATTCCCCGTACCTTTAGCGACTCTGAATAGGGAAAGCAAGCAAGCAGTGCAGAGAGAGGAGCTGGTTGCTAGTAAGCACATGCCCTTTGTAATTACTCTTCACTTCAGGACCAAAGGACTGTAGAGCTCCGTTTATTGATGGAGTTTATTCAGTCTGCGAAAACCATTATCACCAATGAATAGCAGTCACGATGGGGCTTTCCGGATGCTCAGATGTCATTCTGTTAACTTGGTTTGAGCCACCCTCCAAAAGTCTCCAGCCCTGGACAGTATCATTAACCAGGGATGTAGCAATAGTAATGGCAGCCTCCTTCTGTGGTCCTCATTGTCATCTTGATGCTTTGTTCCCTTCTTGCTTGTTGCCTCTCCACCTGGGCTTTTAGCCTGTTTTCCTAGGCTGGTACTTATTTCCAACAAGCTGCCAAGTAATCTCCCTAGAAAAGCCAACGAACTATTTTTTTCTGTTCCTTGTGTTTTTCTTTTTTGTGTGTTTTGTTTCGTGTGTGTGTGTGTGTGTGTGTGTGTCCTTGTATTTTGCTTATGTTATTCTTCTGATATTGCATCTTTAGGAGAAATTCCTGAATGAACACAGAAAGGACTTCAGCAACGCATTCGGCCTTGGAGAAGAAAAAGGAGGAAGTTTTCTAAGATGGGGAGGACCTTTCCTCATGCCTCTCCTAGACAAGACCACAGGCTGCATGGCTGCTCGTCTGCCAACTGTGACGAAAGCAGCCTCTTCCAGTCTACAGGATGCAATACTTTGTCCAAGATTCAGTTAACAGGTAGGTAGTAAATTCTGTCTTTTCCCCTCCTCTGTAACTTAAAAGGGCTTTCAGTCTTTCCAAGGGCCCTTTGCTCTTTGGTTAGAATTGCCAGATTTAGCAAATAAAAGTCCAGTGCACTCACTTTGAATTTGAATATAAATTTCAGATAATGATTTTTTTTTAAAGTATTTGTATTTGTTATCTGAAATTCAGATTTAACTGGGCTCCCGTACTTTACCTGGCAGCTCTATCTTTGATTGAACTCTGTTATCACGCTGTCTGTTTTGCAGGGCATTCTAAATTGAGCTGAGTGACTGCTGAGCCAGGGCAGGAGGTCATGGGCCTTGGAGCCCAGGTGGCCTGGGTGGCGCGTGTACCAGCGCTACTGTCTTAGGCGCTCACCTCCCTCTAGCGGCCGCTAAAGCCATCACACCCGCCGAGCGAAAGCCCTGCTGGGAGGCTGCTGCCGGCTCCAAACCCGGAAAGGGCAAGTCTGAGAGCACACCCTCAGGGGCTTTCTCCTGGAGGGCTGCGATGAAGGCCCGCACAAGAAAGTGGCCTTGTTCCTGGTAGCGGAAACGAAATTTCCCTTTTTTCACTTAAAAATACAATGGAATAAAATACGTCTGTACAACAGCCTAAGCTGACAGATGATGTCTAACCCTGGGCTGTACTCACCACTAAACACTGATAGATGCTGTCATTTTCATGCTAAAGAGACGCCATTCACCCCAAATAATTTATCACGGAGTATTCCTGTAGATGGCAAGTTTGGGAAGGTGGAGATGCTTATCTGTCTCTGTGATGTCCCTGTGCCTGATAGCCAATAAATAAGTTTAAATGAATTGACATTGAAATACACTACAGGCTTAGAATTAAAAACAAAGAGGAAATCTATTCTGACCCTCAGAGAATAATCACTTCATGGCAGAGATGATGGCTGAAGTGCTTTTATGCTCAGCAACAACTATGGAATTGGGTCTTGGAATTGTACTTCCTCTTTTAACAGGAAATGGATGGCTGGAGTCCGGGCCAGGCGATGAAGGATTGATATGTGTGAGATTGTTTTACAAAACACTGCTTTTAGTGTTTAATGACACAGGATAGTGTCTAGAGAAGTGGTGTGGAGCCAGAACATGGGTTCTAGAATCCAGAGATGACTCCCAGAGTGCATCTGAATTCATTCAAGGACAGTTTCTGCAACGTAGGTGTTCCATGATTCCTCATTTAATAAATGCATGGGACTGTATCTATCACAACCATCTCCACACTCATTGGCTTTAGTGGAGTCAAAGCAAGGGAGAGATTTCAATGACAGAATTCTGGTGATAGGGTCCCCTACCACCAATGGCAGTATTAAGGGGTGATTAGGGGAAAGAGTAGCTTTTAGTCACCTTCAAACCACACAAACAAAGATACGGAATCTAAGCAAAAGGAAATGCCTTGCTTTACAGTTTCAAGACAAATCCCTTGGAAGTTGCCCCTTTTAAATAGATTGTCTCTCAGCCTTGCTACGCAGATACATTGGATCCTTACTGCTTAGTAACCATGTTAGCCCTGATCTGTAATCTCGCTAAGTAGGGTGGTAGGTATTTGCTCAGGAAATTGGGACAATAGGTACTCACATTTCTAAAAGTAACTCATAAGGAAGGAAGTAATAATTACATAAGAGCATTTAATATGTTCCAGGCTCTGTCTCTTGTTATCTCATTTAATATTCACTGTAACCCTATAAGGTTATTATTGCCCACATTTTTACAGAGGTGGAAATGTCAGCTTAAAGAAGTGAAGTAACTTGGCTAAGGTCATACAAACAGCCAATATGCAAGTGCACATCTGCCTTATTCAATTCTTTCCAACATACGGCACTGATACTCGAATACAGGAAGAAACCTATTAGTATACCTTGAAGCAGAATCAAATAGAAAATGTTTGCTAGAAATGAAAAAGCAAACATCAGGGGAAAATATGGAAGGGTCAACCAAAGGGTGAATGCGCTTTGTCCTTTCTCCACTGGAGCTCTGAGCCCAGAGGACTGGGTGTCAATAGCTCATTCCTTTAGAAATAAAGTTCTTTAGATAACAAAAGGAGAAGGCAGTGATTCCAAAATCCTACTTAGCTTTTAAAATCCACACATTTTCAGGCCATAGCTCCTGGGTATTCTGATCTAGTAGTACTGGGATGGGGCCCTGGAATCTGAATTTTTAGCAACCATGGCAAATTTGAAACCCAGGGGATTTGATGTTATCTAATGTTTAATTACTCCTCCGATCAACCACTTAGGGTAAATTCTTAAGGTAATTTTCTAACAAATATTTGTATTGTTATTCATATAAGATTATGTTAGGAAAGGGACAGCTAAGGCACTCATTGAACGAGCTCGTATATTTCTAGAAAGCAATGTTAATATGTCAGCAATCTGATGTTGTTTCCTATGCCATTTCACTGGCATTTGGCAGCTTAAAACATAGCCCCAGTGGAGATGTAAACTCTTTAAATCTGGTAATTCCACTTTATATTGGATTATAAAATGTTATGTGGGATAAGAACCTTAGACCATTCAAAGAACAGTTAATCTGATGAAAAGAAAGATTTTGGAACCAAAATGTAATAATGATTGTTTTAACTCTATGTTCTTTCAGTCATTTGGATCCTCTATTCATTCTCTAAACAAGCATTTTTAAAGTGCTTGCCGTGTTTCAGACTATGCTAGGAACTATGGAAAGGGAGGAATAAGAGTTGCTTGGTTTCATTCACCTTAGTGTGTATCACACCTTGTGAATCCTGTGAATAAAGAGTCTGGGTAAATGAAGGTCAATAAATAAAAATAAAAAAGGTTACATATGTTCCCACAGTGAAAGTGGTCATTATGCATACTGGTGTTTACTTTAATGGGAATGGTGTCAGCGCCATATTCTGAGTATCATCAGCTGACTCATGAAAAATACAAAACACTTTGAAAGGAGGTAAAGAGGCTGTGTTGCATCTTCTGCTTTGAGCCCCATCTTGCTGAATCAGAGAGTCACTGGAATAGGCTTAATATTAAGATTTAAAAAAAAAACTATCCTTGTTTCAAAAAACTTGAAACAAGGATAGTTTCAAGTTTTTTGAATAGGTATTTCCTTCTTTCCCTGTTACCATATGTTGTTTTTCCTAGTTATTTAACTCTTAGGCCATCCAATATTATCCCTCCTTGTCAATTTACACCATTCATACTCTTTTGGGTAATTAGGATTGCCTTCTTTAGGCATCACTCCTGGCACATAATTTTCATTATCTTTAACTTATCTTACTTATCTCAGTGTGAGAAGCTCATCTAAATACACCTATGCACTTCCTTTTGCAGACAGGATCATAACATTTGTAATTTGTCTCTGTTGTAGTTGAATAATTTACCTAGATGATTTTACATGTTCTTTTTATTTCTTTATTTATCCTCTGTCTACATTTCTGACAATGTCACCTGCTCCAATATCTAAGGTTAAATCTTTACTAGTTGGACAAGTGGGTAGTTGACATATGACTAACAGGCAATTCTCCTTCAGGAAACTCAAGATTGTGTAAGTATGCCTGATTCATCCCTGTTGCTGCAACTGAAACGTGTAATAAAAGAGCAATAACAAAGAGAGGCGATGATGACAGCTTAGCTGCAGCATCTCGTTCTCTAGCTCAATAAGCCAACAGGGAAATTATGACCCTGTGAAACAAGTAGCTCTCAAAATAATTCCTGTCATTCCAAAGAATGATGTGATTTTTCTTCACATGTTCACAATGAAGATACTATGTTGTTTAATTGATGGTTTTATTTTTTTTTTCAAAGTGTATTCTGTTGTTTCTATATATCTCCCTTATAAGGCTCCATACTGTAATTGAACTCAATTTTTGTTCAATAGAGATTTCTTAAACACCTCCTACATGCTAAGCACTGTGCTAGGAGCTATAAATATCATTAGGTAGATACAGACATGGTTGTCTTCTGGTACATTCTTTTTCTAACATTTAATCAGAGTCATCTATTTTTAAATATATTGATAATGAGTCAGAATATAAGAGTATGAGGTTAAAAGCATGGGCACTGATTAGAGAGACTTGGTAATGAATCTTATCACTGTTTTGGTGGTCATTGACTTACTTGCATGTACTACCGAGCCTTTATTTTCCCATTTGTGATATAGAGTCACATTAGTACCTACTTCATTTTGAAGATTGAGATAAGTGCCCCAGTTTCTTGAATTTAGCAAGTGTTAAAAAAGTGGAAGTTCTTATTAATTAATATTATGACTTTCCTGAGCATGTATGCAGAAACTTACTAGTTCTCTGCTAGAAGGTGAGGAACCTCCTTGAACCTCCTAAGAAAAGCTTTTGGCAAAGGTTAAAAGTAATGTGTAACTGAATTCATAACAACCTTGTTGTTGAATAGTCAACCAGGAAATGTTAGGGTTAAGATTTCTCATGACAAGTGAAATTAAGAGAATATGAACTAGTGCTGTTACACTAAGTTCCCTTTTTTTTAAAGACATTTTCTCTGATTTATTCTGAATGAAACAAGTCTTGAGAGAGGCCGTGAAATAATGGTTCTGTGGATATTAGGTCATCTTCAGAAAGTGCTATATAAAATGTTATGCATTATATATTCACTTATTAGCATATTAAGAATTCAGGGAATACTCGCAGAAAAGAAGCCAGTTTTAATTTCTTATCATTTCCCAAATTCATTTTTCTGTATGATTCTTTGTTTGTTGAATACCATCAATTAGCATCCCAAAGAACACCCTTGGGAAATGCTGCTGAGAGAAGCTAAGAACTTGCCTCACATTTGTCAAGCACTGAAAAAAATTCATACTTGGGAAACTGGCAAACTATTTTTCTGACCCTGACCCTTACCAGTAGTATAATCATAGGAAAGTCACTTGCTTTCTTCACATTTAAAACAAAATAATAATACATCATTCATGGACAGCCATAGAGAGAAGATTCATTACAAAATGCATTTATGGTAGGAACAGAAATTGGCAATA